CATGATAAAATTTTCTATATAGTTTACTTTAATGGTCGTCAAGGTAAATACAAATAATTTTTGCAAAAACGATTTTGAAAAAATAATGTTTAAAACGGAAACTTGAATGACTGATGAGGAAACCAAAATATTGAAATACAAAAAGTCTGCAGATTAGTTGTCCGGTAATATATCTTATATTTCGTATACTGTTTTTAAATATATCCAGTATGGTAGAATTTTACAAACTGGTTGGTTTTGCATGGTAACAATATACATTCACAAAAGAAGCATGAATGACCTTTAATGAATAAGAAAATATAAAAAGCTATAGGGTACCTAAAATCGGTCCGATTTTACCAGATGTCCATATTCACCCGGAATATATTAATTCCCGTATAGATTGCACATTATATTAAAAAAACTTCAGCTGCTTAACACAGAATAGAACAGAACATATATCTTATTTTTAATGTTATCCAATCAAAAGAGCCGTTAAATCTTATAACAGCCCATAGTTAAAAATAGGGGTTTGGAAAATTACGCCATTTGAAAACGTGACGCCATTTGCAAATGAAGAGGTTTGGATAGTTACGCCATTTGTAAAAAAAAACATTTTCAAACACTCCGCCATTTGTAATAAAAAAGAATATGCATGCAAAACTAATTTAAAAATGAAATATATATGCAAAACTAAAATAAAATATGTATGCAAAACTAAAATAGACTATGTATGCAAAACTAAAAAAATATGTACGAAAACAAACAAAAAATATGTACGAAAAAAAAAGGTATAAAAAACAAAAAATAAATTGCAAATGTCACTTTTATGCCACCGTACCATTGTGATTTTTTGTATAAACTAAGAAACCTACCTGTCATTTGCTTGTTAACATTATAGTTCATTTTATATTAAACCCCCTTTTTACAGCTGCATATGTTCTCTAGGTAGACCTCTGCGGATAGGTTCATCATAATTATGGTAATTAATTGTCAAACAGTTCCTCTATAGACCCAAATGCATAAACCGTATGATATAATTGTTACCGCATTCATGGTCACATCACGCTGCTTTGATTGAAATAAATGAGCATAGATTGAACGAATTCAAATCATTCATAGGCAATTTCATACAGTGTCCCTTGAATCTTATGGTAAGTTATGATTGACATATTTGCACTTGATGACTTAAGTACAAAACAAGACATATACCAACATTACATCAATTTTAAAAGCATATATGAATGATTCATGTATTTTTTAAACAAATATTACAGCACCACCAACAACAATATCCACAGCATTAAAAAAAACTTATATAGCATAAAAAAACTTCATATAAATTATGAATATTAATACATTTCATGGTTGATTAATGCATAATTTCCTTGACACTGTTTTCTCACATTGCGGCATACCGTAAAAACTATTAGATAAATTATTATATATTTACTGTAGAATTAATGGATATATTTAACAAATTTTATTAATTTTCAATTCATATTTAGTATCATATTTAGTAAAAATGTATATTTCACTCCCAAAATTAAGGAATCTATGTCTTATAATATAAGGGCAAAAATCTCAAAACCACTTGAAATATCAGCAATTTATTTTGGAATTATTGTTGGAATGAAACAATTCATTACAAAAAATATACTATTTTCGCGTAATATGTAATGCATTGTGCCGAACAAAACTCAAACATTAAACATTGATATGAAAACCATGGCACAATTATGAACGCTCAATACATATCTGGCAGAGAGAAAAAGTTGAATACATTTTAATTTACATAATTACCACATGATTTCCTATTGCACGAAACTGTTATCTATGATGTGTCGGTATATCAAAGGGATACAGCATTAATCATAAATACAATCGCTTCATTTATTTTCCACTTAACAAGTGATAATCAGTTATTTTTTATAAATTAATGGCATTTCTATTATCGGTGGGCAAAATTACGAAATTATGAATGATCACAGACATTTATGTAACGATGTGACACTGTGCCATGAATGTTTGTGCAGAGTTAAATTTCAGGAGAAAAAATCCTGAGGCTTTATTTTAGCACTGTTTATCATCATATATAAAAGACATTGTTATATATATCGAAGCTTAATTGAAATTATATGTGTGTAGATTAAATTCAGTAATAATAATAATAATAATAATAATAATAATAATAATAATAATAATAATAATAATAATAATAATAATAATAATAATAAATAATCATAATAATAATAATAATAATAATTTAAGATACAATAACAAAAAATAAAAAATAAATCTGGAATGAAAATTAAAAGAAAGAAAGAAACAAACAAAAATAATGAAATACAACAACAAAACTAAAAATGAAACAAAAATATGGGTTTAAACAAAAACAAACAAAGAAAACTTAACAAAAAAGGCATGCAATGTTCGGTGCACTGAAATATTATGATCGAATCTTAACCGATTCTGTCGTCAACTTTGGCTTTTGTTAATTTACACTTATCATTGTAACTATTTGAGACACTGGAAAATGTATCCATGGAGACAACGGTCACAATTTAAAAGACATTAAATGTAATGAAATCAATTTCCTTCCGCTGTGATGTCTTGGACCTACAGACATTGAATATTAAAGACTATTTATAAAACATTCGATTATACCCCGAAAAGGTGATAAAGCCCGTAATATTATTTTAAGTTCCACAAATGGCCAATTTTACTACACCGTTTATCAAATGATAGCTTTAATTTTTGCGCAGTATGCCATGATGCAGATATAGATAAAAAAGTAATCACGATTTGATGACGTCGAAGAAATTACGTAGACTGATGCACATATCTGACTATTAACTGTATAAATGAAAATGTCACGTTATTGGCTGTTGTTTATGCCATGGCGACATAAATGAAAGGGTATAGACTTTATGATATTTGACAAAAGCGCATTTCCAGAATATTTCGTAAGGAATCTCTACATGATATTAATCAAGCAGTTTTGAAAAAGGCACATTGCGCCCCAGAAATGAATAATTTTTTCCCTTCCTAAGGAAGGTCAAATAGGAGTTTAGGTGCTTATCATAGAAAATAAAAGTAGCGCAGAATGTGAAATATTTTGTCAATAAAATAAATGTAGCAAAAAATATATAAACAAATTAGTATTTTGATTTCCATTCTCACTGAAACACTATAACTCTACTTGGTGCCAAAAAGCAAAAAGAATGATTCAGGTTATTGGCCAATGAGTTATTTATTGGCAACTATAAGAGGAATAAAATACTCCAAAAATGAAGCTTTTTCTGAAATAACAATAAAAGCATTTCTGGGTCATTTTAAGTCTTTAAATCATAGTCATTAATAATAGTGAATATTTATCTTGATTGATTGGGGATTTATTCGGCTCAGATATTTCTACCCCCATTTAGTCGGTTCCGGGCAAAATTTAATGTCTACAGAAACATTAAAGTTTCATAATAAACAAGTCTGGCTTACAATAACCATTTTTCATCTTTAATGAAACTCATATCAGCTTTGAAGGTCTTGTTTATACAGATTTTTTCAGTTCGTTTGTATAGGGTGCTATAAGCTTACAGACACACTTTCGAATCCGTTCCTAGAACCAACCAGTACTGAGCAATGAGTTAAAACTTTCTTGCTCAAGAAAGCAACGACAAACGGGGTTTAAACTGTCTAAAGATACTTAGATTACTAGTCTGATGTGTTGTCCACTCGTTCATTGCCTTGTGGAAGAAGTTCCGTTAACGTATCGCAAATTCAGTGATGTCATTACATAATCTTTTCAAAGATTAATATACAATATTTTACTGTCGCGTACCAGTTCTTGATAATTATTAAAGACCGTGTAATAATATTTTTTATCTATTTTTACCAAAAAGCATATAAAGTTAATTATTACATTTAATTAGTTACATCTGAATATTTTCTCCGTATACCAGATCCAATCTAGTGCCTCTGTAATAGTGATGGTGAGCTAATTGGACATTTCTTCAGATATTTTTCACATAAGTATACGATTTGCGGCGTGTTTTTACTTATTTTATGACACCAAAATCCTATAAATAATTCGCTTAGAGAGAAAGTAATTAAAGTTTAATTATTTAAAATGTAAGATAACAAGGAAAATGTAAAATAAATTACTTCCGGTTTACAATGTACATTTTAATTGTATCTGAAACGAGAAACAGCATTCTGAAAGCAGTTAATACACATTTGCTCATTTTCATAGACAGCTTTCCAACATGAAAGAACCCAAAAGTCTTTTTCCAAACATGGGGGGTTGGGATTTTAAAAGCCCAAGGGCCTTTAAAAAACTCCCCCACAGCCCCTTCGCAAAAAACAAAACCCCAAGTAAAAAAATCATCTTTATTCAAAAATTTTAAAAAGGAATTTACATTTACTTTTACACTTTTACATATTTATAATTATATAAAGAACAGTATGTACAAAATGATATGGACTGATGAAGGAATGAATTTTTAATTCATGAGCATGGGACATGTAAATGAAAATATAAACAGTAAAAAATCTGAATCATATACAAAACATACTAAACCAAAATGATATGTGAAAATGTTCTTCCTTCTTGATATTCAAGTTGGATCATGATGTGACACCAAGCTCATGATCATGTGACACCAAGTTTGTGATGATTTGATACAAAGTTCATGATGATGTGACACCAAGTTCATAATGATGTGACACCAAGTTAATGATGATGTGACACCAAGTTAATGATCATGTGACACCAAGTTTATGATGATGTGACACCAACAATCAATTACATGTATATACATCATGAAACAAATGTACATTTTGAATGTACATGAATATGATTCATCAGCAAAGACACATTAGTTGACCTAAAATGTGTATGACATGCACATAAACAATGCAATTCCATTGGAACTATAAAAATATATTAAACATTCTCTTTTTTCATTTTTACTTAAAGTAGAGCTAACAAAACAAATTATTAGATTTTGATTTTCTTATTTTAATTTCTAAAAATTCATCTCAGATTGGAATGCATTCTTACTCTAAACTTGGAATGTATAAACATGTATAATGATTTGAACAAATCTTTGAATACAAAAAAAAGTCATTTTGACTATGTACATATAATTGGAATAATCGTGAAATTGTTCCGTTGTATAATCGTGAAATTGTTCCATTGTAGATATATACAACCTATTTTCAAATCAAATATAGTAGTTTAAATGCATGTCATTCAAATCCAAATGGATCATGCATGAATATGTTTGATATAATTTATATCAACTAAAGTTTTACCTAGTTAGGATATTATTATCATCAAACTTGTTCAAGCTATTTACTGGCAAAGGTTATAAATGTTATATTGAATAAATATGTTTAAACCAAATGTGTTTTGTTTCCATGATATTTAAAATCATTACATCATTTTCTGAAAATTTCCAAATGGGTCACAAATCTTAGGACACAAACGAGATATCTTAGGACACAAACGAGAATGAGCAAAATTTATCTATATTGATGAAAATACAATATCATATTCTACTATATATGGCATTATACCAAAGTATACTATCACAGTTTACAGTGGTAACTTTTTGAAATAACAAGTTGTGAAACATGGAAATTTTTATGGTCATCCTAAAAGGAAAAATTAGAGATGTTACAGGCTTGGTTTGTTTGACTTCAACTGTTTGTTAATGCATGAATCTGTCCATAGTTTCATGTCACTTCCAACATTTAGTATTTCCCATAAAATTGTATAATTGAAAATTTAGGTACACTTGCATATGAGTTTTTGCATTAACAAACTATTTACTAAACAATTTACATTGTACATACTGTAAAAATGGGTTGATGAAATGCAAAGTGATATGATTTATTCTAAAAAAATGATGGAATTTACAATTTCTATGATACAGTCCTCATCGAGTAAGTTTATGAACTATAACACAAAACCTGAATGAACTTTTTGCTGAAATATCTACAAAAATATATAATTGAAACGAAAATCATTTAAGACAGAAGAACAATGATTAAGATATCAGATATAAAACATAATTATATGGAACTAGCCAGCACTGCAATAAAAGTATGTTAATTAACTTCTCCCCATTTTTGAGAACACGGCATGTTAAAATGTTTCATTTTGGAGATAAAAATTGTAGTTGTTGTAGAATAGTGCAATGTGTAAGTTCAAATGCCAGAAATTTAATCAGGAAGGCTTGTTACTTTAAGGCTTGAGTGATTAATTTCAAAGCATTTGAAAGATAAACCTTGCATTATTATAGAAAAATGCTAGAAAATAATTTACTATCTATATCCATTCTAACATGCTAATTAGAAAGAGAATTTACAACAAAATATGTTTAAACACATTGAGAGGGGAAGTAATTTTCCTGACACAGTTTGGTGTCCAAATATTAGTGACATCATTGGACGAACAACATTTCCTTTATATGCCATGCACATATCATATAATAATGCACTCAATTGCACAGTCTGTTTATTTGAGGAATAGTTTGTGAAGAGTGTTAGAATGATAATTATTTATTAAAGTATGAAAAAGAAACAAACAAAATGTGTTGGCTTGCTACATAAAAAAATGCGCTTTTTGAGCAGCAATTTTGTTATCTGATTACAAAAATTTCTCATTCAGTTATTTATTTATTTATTAAATTTTGTATCTTGTGATCATTTTTCCTTCTGTATCTTGGAAGACACAGTAAATTATTGCATATTATTTACTAATTAATATCAATCAAATTGTTCTCAATTATTTCTAACCAATCAACTCATTCATTGAAAATAGACAAAAGTAACTTTGTCATGATGAAAATAGTGTTTAAAAGATCACTCTCTTTGCTATAAATAATAATGAAAAACAAAGAGAGATAACCGGAACCACTTTTCCGAATAAACTATTTGCAGAGTTACATCCATTCCAGTCATTGCAAAAACAGTACATCATATTTGAGTCAGTTGTTTCAGTTGGGTTCCAGAAATCGTTCTTTCGGGACGGTTCGCAGTAACCATGACGACGGAGAACCGGCATCCTCAGACGGTGATAAGCAGATCTCATCAGATTATTCTCACATTCTCGGATAATTTTCTCCTCGCCTGAAATTGCAAAATAAAAATAATGGTCAAAATAGTTTTGGTGTTTTAGACTATGTTTTTTTGTAAAGAGACTAATCCTTAAAGATCCTGTAACACATTTTTTTCATGGTTTTATTTCATAAATATGATGCTCAAATTAAGATTTGTCAATATTGTAAGTTCCAATAAGCATTATTTATAAAGATATTACCGATTTTAATATTTCATGTAAATAAAGAGAGATAATTAGAAATTTATTTTCTATAAATTCTAAGTCAAATTTTCCAATAAGAAATGAATGCATTTAATTTATTGATTAAATATAATGTGCTTAAATATTTGCAGTACACATTTTACACATTCTTCGATGTTTGAAAATTGTTTTACTTGCATAATTATATACATATATATTTGTTTGCAAGTGTGGTATACAGACAGTAACAATATCAATCACAAAACATATAGGATCTTTAAATAATATCAGTCATTATTCACAATTTTAAAATAATTGTGTTTGTTAAGAGACCTAGAAATATTACCAATTTAATTAATTTCATAAGTGAAATATTTCTCTATAAAAGCAGACCTGGACAAGTCCAGGTCTCCTTTTATAGAGAAATATTTCACTCATAAAATTAATTGAACTAATGTGAAAAAAATATCATTCTAGTGCAAAAGACTCTAAAAACAAGAACCGGTTGATGCTCCCCGAGAAGGTTCTGGACACAGGAAAGTATAAAAAAAATGAACAAAGGGCAATAACTCCAAAATTAGACCAGGCTTTGTTTAGGTTCTTGAAGCGTTGCAGTTCTATCCAATAATATCTAGCTACCTACAAAGTTTCATGTTGATATCTCTAATAGTTTTAAAGTAATGTCCAGGACAAAAGTCAAAAAGTAAAAATAAACAAAGGGCAATTACTTCAAATAAGGCAAGGCAGAGTAATGATTCTTAAGCACTGCACTTCCACCAAATGAGACCTATCTATCTACAAAGTTTCATGTTGATATCTCTTATAATTTTAGAGTAATGTCCCAGACAAAGTTCAAAGTGTCAAAATGAACAAAGGGCAATAACTCCCAAAGTAGGCAAGACAGTGTTACAGTTCTTGTGCACTGCAAACTTACTCAATGAGATCTATCTACCTACAAAGTTTCATGTTGATATCTCTTATACATTAAGAAATATGTCCCGGACAAAGTTCAAAGTGTAAAATAAACAAAGGGGGATAATTCAAAAATTAGACAAGGCAGAGTTACGGTTCTTGTGAAGCACACCTACTCAATGAGATCTATCTACCTACAAAGTTTCATGTTGATACCTCTTATACTTTTAGAGTTATGTCCCGGACAAAGTTCAAAGTGTAAAATAAACAAAGGGGGATAATTCAAAAATTAGGCAAGGCAGAGTTACGGTTCTTGTGCACTGCACACCTACTCAATGAGATCTATCTACCTACAAAGTTTCATGTTGATACCTCTTATACTTTTAGAGTAATGTCCCTGACAAAGTTCAAAGTGTAAAATAAACAAAGGGGGATAATTCAAAAATGAGGCAAGGCAGAGTTACGGTTCTTGTGCACTGCACTTCTACTCAATGAGATCTATCTACCTACAAAGTTTCATGTTGATACCTCTTATACTTTTAGAGTAATGTCCCGGACAAATTTCAAAGTGTAAAATAAACAAAGGGAGGTAATTCAAAAATTAAGCAAGGCAGAGTTACGGTTCTTGTGCACTGCACACCTACTCAATGAGATTTATCTACCTACAAAGTTTCATGTTGATACCTCTTATACTTTTAGAGTTATGTCCCGGACAAAGTTCAAAGTGTAAAATAAACAAAGGGGGATAATTCAAAAATTAGGCAAGGCAGAGTTACGGTTCTTGTGCACTGCACTTCTACTCAATGAGATCTATCTACCTACAAAGTTTCATGTTGATACCTCTTATACTTTTAGAGTTAGGCAGAGTTATGGTTCTTGTGCACTGCACACCTACTTAATGAGATCTATCTACCTACAAAGTTTCATGTTGATACCTCTTGTTGTTTCAAAGTTATGTCCCGGACAAGAAAAGGGGACGGACGGACGGACGGAAAGACGGACGGATGGACGGACGGACAAGGCGGCGACTATATGCTCCCCCGAAATTTTTTCGGGGAGCATAATTACTTTTATTGTAACACATTATTATATAATAAGTATTTCATTAACACTTTAAAAAACTTGATGTAAATTTCATTGTATATTATGTTGAATGCATAGATAATTATAAATGACCTATCCATTAAAAAAACACAACTGTGCATTTGATCTTATGCAAGTCCTTTTTATCAGACCTTTATTCAGCTTTTTTTATAATAATTACAATTATCCAATGTTCACTTGAAAATTTTGCAATAGTCACAAGAACAATCAAAATGTGTTCAATCTATGTTCTTTAATTTCATAACAAAAAAATTCATTGATTTACCATCTTCTCTTGTAATAACTTTGACACAAAACTTAGAGTCTCCGCAGTCTCTCCACGGGAACATTCTCCAAACAACACCGTCCTCACCACATCCACCCATAGCACTGTAACATCTATGGCACATAATTGCCTCCCCTGAAAATATGTAATGTATGATCAATGAACTGTAAAATTTGGTATGATGTATATATGTATATATCTATTCAAAGAGATTTTTTTCCCCAAAGCTGTGTTTGACTTAATACATATGTTCTAAAGTTATGCAGTTTGGAGGGTTCTTGTGGCTAAGGTGTCTGGCGTTTCAACTGAAGCTACGCCAAACGGCAAGGTATAAATATGAAGAACATTGCTTTTCAAGATAGGTACTCCTTGAATTGTTTTGTAATGTGTCAAAAACTATCAAGTATCAACTTGAAAGCTTCATAAACCATTGGTTGCATTTTAAAGACCGAAAAATCTTAAAGACATTCTTGTTAATTCTAATGTTAGGTCTAATAACAAAAATGCGAAATGTTCATTCAGATGTAGTAGAAGTAGATGTACACATTGCAGCTACATTATTGAAAGTAATATATTTAGCAGTACTAATATTCCTGGTAAGAATTACAATGTAAATAACAATACTGATTGTTCTATGAAAATTCTTATATTATCTTGTCACATGTGATAAATGTAAAGAGCAATACGTTGGTCAAAGGAAGCAACAAGTGTCTAAATGTATGAATAGCCATAGGTTTGATATCAACAATTTTTCAGATCAGTTATTTTCTACCAATAGCGCTACACAGTTTAATAAAAGCAATCATTGTATTAAGGATTTTAAATTTATGTCAAAAACTATCACAAACACATAAAATGTCTAAAGACTATTGGAGTTTCAACATAGGTCAGGATCATGGGTTCTTTAATCCTACTGGGCTCAAAACCATGTTCCTTCATTTAACACCTGAAAGAACTGCATGGCTAGTACTTGAAGAGCAGGAAACAAGCCACACTGTTATATATATTTCCAATGAACTGTATTATTTTTGTCTTTGACATATCAGTTGCATGAAACAACAGCAACTCTTTGGTCAGGTTCCCGGACAGTCTAATTAATAAACATTTTGGTCTTGGAATTTTAGGCTACTAATTACTATATGGTAATCGTATTATAACGGGATTAATTAGTGTGTGTGACATGACCTTCATTAATATACCTTGATTGGTCAACTGATTGGATTATATTGAGTGATCTCAACTATCACTAATAACAAAGGTGACAAAATTGTAACATCATGACATGTGTCAAGTCATGCATACTTAAATCTCATTTATAAAAATAATTCATATTTGTAAATTAAATCCTGTGTAATGTGCTGAGGAGAATTCAATCTCAATTTAAATATGGAGGTGATAAGTCCAGAAATCTATCCCAGGTAAAATCGGCAGGCATACGAAATCAAGTTAGCTTAAGGTCTTCAGCGTACCCGTTTATATACTATGACATGCCGCATCAGATGAAAAACAAAAATGTTAAATAGCGGCTTATAAAGTTTTGGATGCCAGAACTAAAATCAAGTTAATTAATACATGTATGATCCAAAGGGACCCGGCACAGTGTTGGGAAAGTGTAAAAAAGTAATTCTTGAAAAAAAATATGCTTTATATATAGAGTCTCTAATATATACAGTATATATATTTTTTAGAATTACTTTTTTACACTATCCCAACACTGTGCTGGGTCCCTGTGGTATGATCGATTTCATCTGTTATAGATCACTTAAACTAAAACCTTAACAAAATTTTCAAGATCTTTTGAATCCAGAACAAATTGACATCCTAAAAGTAAATAACTTGAGAACAATTTACTTGCTAAACAGATGTAACTTGTACAATATTGCACTTCTTGGAATGGAGAGGGACAGGTGTTAACAATTAATTAACTGCTAGCCCAGTTTTGACTCAACGGATGGCATAATTACAGAAAGATGAAGTGAAATTTATTAGAAGTGAGTCATGTACACAGAAAAAAATGGCCGACTTCCTCAAAATTTAAATTATTAAACAACACACCTGGATTTACAGGTGTATTTTGATAAGTAAAACATCTTGAACAGTTCCAGTCAGTAATTACTTACCATATTCTAGAATGGTGGAGAGAATCACAACAATTAACAACAACTTCGGCCACATTTTCTATTTTCTTTTTAAGATAATTACATTTTTTGGTACACAATATAAAAGGTGAAGGTCGAAATGCTTATTGACAATATAGCGACATCTACTGGACAGGTAAAAATCACTAGGGGAAGCAACTCATACGCACTTTGTACAAAATAATTTTCGTACTTATTCTTTTCGTTCCTTATGTATATTGTAAATGTTTAAAGAGTGTTTAGCTATATCACATTTGACTTCTGAATGTGTGTATTGTATTATTTCTAAAAAAAACAAAACATCTTTATCAATTGAAAGAGTAACAGTTGTAAATTTCTGATATTTATAGCACAGACACTTCGTGGTGTGGAGCTTCAGACACTTCGGGGTGAGGAGCTTCAAACGCGTTAAAACATATATGTGAACAAATATACAATTTACTTTGATTTTAACTTAAAGTCCAAATAAATTGTATCTTATATATCATTGAAACTAAATTGAGGCTGTTCTGAAAAAAAAATCATATTTAAACGTCAATTTAATTTTTATTAATTTATTATTTTTATCTGAACTTTTATTATCTTATGTTATTTATGTGCGTTCAGTATTAGATATTTGAGCTAAATCTGTATCAAGATTTGGCTATAAGTATAAGCAGAGACTTTAATTAAATATATATAGCTCTGTGGTATAAGAAAAGACTAAACGATCTTAGTCTAAACAAGTAAAATGGTTTCCTGCGGGGAACATTTTTAATGATATAAAGATATTTCATTTAACTATTTTCAACATTGTTTGGGGGGATAAATAAACGTTTGTATCAGGAATATAGTTGACAATAATCGATCAATATAGAAGCTCACCATTGAAGACCTGAGAAGGTCGAACATAAAACAATTATTTCTTTTTAAGAAAATTATTAAATAGGCCTACCATTTTATGAATAATTCCGAGCAAAAAAGTAAACACACAAGGTTTACGCAGAAATATCTCTATTTATTATGGCAGATGTCACTACGTATATTTTAATCTTGTAGATTTTCAGTATAAACAATTTATTGTTTGTAAAATTTGAGATAGACATTAAAGAATCATTGATAATTTTCAAACACATCATTCAAGTTTTCCACCTAAAACGGTAAAATAATTATAGAAAATTAGAAATATCACGTAATAGTTTTTTGTTCTTAATTAGGTGTAATTCGAACTACATTCCCTAGAGGTAAATCCGTAACGTACCGGCAAACGGTATTTAGTTGGGTTTTAGAAAAGGTCAATTAACCAATCATATACGGTTTACAGATCACGTGCTCCTCCATGTACCGAAAACAGGTCACGTGCTCCTCAAAAGTTAAACGCGAACCAATACCCTGCGGTCCGGTCTCCAGACCGCAGGGAATAATGGCAGATCGAATATATTAATTTACACTTTTTAAAGCAAATGATTAGGCTAGCTATAGATAGATATAAGCAGATTATATAGAACACTGGTATTTTTTGTTTAGAAAAAAATATCCAAACAAGAAGTAGCCAAAAAAAAGGAGGAAAGAAATATGCATACAGTACTACGAATATTTTTTAAATAATTAAATTTGTATTGGTTATTTTATTACAACCTATATGTGCTTCTTTATATATATTTTTATGATCGTACAAGTTTCTAGGCGCACGTCATCTGGAAATATTTTTCTCTTATATTTGTTTTGAAAACTATATATCTCTCTAAAAACTTAGATTTTTTTCATGAATACTTTAAGCATAAACAGTTTTCAATTGTAATTTTAAAACCATTTTTAAGTAATTGCATAAGATAAAACTATTTAATGACGGATACATTTCAAATCCAAGCCAGAAACGTACATGTATATTATACGCTTATAACATTCATCCCTGATGATATATAAGTTGAACTAGTAGGATACTTACTGTATTTTTAGACACATATATCCGTCACCAAATCTCCGGGTGATAGATAGGAAATAATCAAACCTTACTCTGCTGTGAAGTCTGACAAGGCTCGCCACTATAGGGTTCGGCTAATCTCATTTAGAATTTACATTTAATTAAGAAATCCGGCCGGTTATGGGTTTTAAATATTTAAAATCGCCTGTGATATGATTAAGTTAGTTAAACAGAAAATTCAAGCATTTTAAAATTTGCACAAGTGTATCTCCATCAATGTAAAGTAAAATAAGAAACATTATTTCAAGAAAATATACATACAAAAAAAATAATGAAAATAATTAATACAAACCAGAGGTGTCTTACGCGACCCAAGCCAAAAAATCGTCATTTTACAAACTAAACACATAATCTTCAAAAACAGTGTAAACCATAGCGGTGTAACCCGTATGGATCTCAAAATTGAACAAAGGTAAAAAATAGATGTGAATTTCCGCTAATCCAGAAATGTGCTGTAACTCGATATGAGAATGAGAAAATAGGTCAATCACAGTGTAAGTTTCCAACTTTTTAAACAATTTTATAACATTCAAAGCTTTTTTAGCATATTTTCGGCACACCATAACCCACGACGGAAAGAATATATCAACTGCATAAAAACCGAACAAAAATGGGTATATAGAGGAAAGTCATGAGGCTTGAATCACATTTCGATTTCCTTTTTCAAAAAGCTTTGAATTTTATACAAAAGTTTAAAAAATTGAGAACTGTTGGATGCCGCGGTCCAGCAGATGATTACCAGTTTCTCAATTTAGTGCTGAATGACACCCCAGCCACGTTAAAAAATTTTATTCAAAATACTCGTACGTGGAAAAGTACCAGAATGTTTTGCGAGCAAACATGTAAGTATCTAAGAAATATTGAAAAGGTGAAAAAAGCAAAATGGGATGCCTATATTCAAGCGATCTTGAACATTGGAGATAATTGAAAACATAATCAAGACATAAACCAATTTGCATGCAGTATCCCGTACTAATTAATTGGCTTGACATTAAAAGTGTATCCTAGTCTAAGCCCCACCTGTCGCACTCCACCCCATGCACGGTTGTATACGTTAAAACGTATTCGTTTCGATTTTCAGCTTTTACGATGTTTTTACCGTTTAAACGAACGAAATGACCACGTTGTCTTATCAAAATATCTTAATTATTACATGGAATCATGAATTTTATAAATTCAAATTGATTTATTCCCAGTAAATACGAAGTGAGTTTGCAAGGCTGTCAAAAAAGCGTAGGTTACGACTTTTTTGAAGGGCGTCATGCAGTTTTTAACTTTGATTAAACGCCAACAGTACAGTGCTTCGATAATTAGAAAATAACAAACATGTTTACTTTATCCCTACCATTAATGGATAACCCTTGTTAAGTAAAATTGTTCACATAATCCAGCATTTGTCAGACCAATTGTGTTGTCAGGCTTCTATTTAAGCGACGCTCTGATTGGCCAAGGATAGTAAGCAGCCCAGAATAAGGGCGTTTACAATCATCGTTCACAAATCGCTCGTGACTAAATATTTTTCGGTAAACTTGATTTTCCTTTGATCTTTCAAAAGAGCGAAATTGGGATATAGTGCGACTCCCTCGCGATGAGCCCTGAGCATTATTTATTTGTGTGTGTTTTAAAAAAGAAAGTAATTTAGAAATCATTTGGCAACTCGAGTACAGGGTAATGTATAGTACATAGAAGTACCGCCGTTTAAACGGCATCGTTTTTATCAATCGTGTAGACGTTTACAAAAAAAAATGTAAATATATTTCGTTTGATAATGGAAATAGGTTCGTGTCTGTCAATACAAATCCATTCTAAGGGAAGCAATTCGAATAATAATTTTTAAGTATGATACTTTTGTGGAGGACATTTATAATAATCCGTAAATTCTTTCAAAAACTATTATTATTTTATTTAATTTTTAGTACAACACATAGTAAAGCTTAATTGTTTAACTCAAATTGCGAACCGTCAAACTTTTTGAACAAATGTACTAGCGCCAACTCGATTAAATTTTTTATTCTACTCGTAATCGGTCAATTCTTGATCATTTGTAATCAAGTACGCCTGACTTTCCCAAACAAAAGATAAATTCGAAAGTTTGCGGTTTTACAGCTAATATTCGGTAAATATCATGCTTTCAGATAATTATTTCTTATCAGATTTGATTAACGAGTATATTTGAACCAAAACTTTTTAATGTAAGTTGGGTATAATTTGTCAAGCTGCAAAGTTATGATTTTCGAAAAAAAAAAAAAAACAATTTTTTTTTGTTTTCCACTTTAAGCTGCTTTTTAAGATTATGATCTTTCATGTGATATGTCCTGTCAAATTATTCAAACGCTACGTTGAACACACAAAGATTGGAAAGATCATGATTATATTAAGTTCAGACAATATCAGGGATATTTTTACTGGCTTTCAAAATTTTACAAGCCGCTTTCAAAATTTTGTTCTTTAATCTGAATTTTTCTGATGCCAATGATGGAACATTAGTGTTCTGGATCAGATCCGTTATTAGCTCAACAAATTGTGTGCCAGGGCTTTTTATTTTATATACCGTATACGATGGATGTCCTTCGTTACCTCTATGTAATAGATCTGTTCAGTTGTAAATGATGAATATCCTCGGGTGGCCATGATTCGTTACCCTAACCATTTTACAGTGCTAGTTTGATACACTATATTTGCTTATGATCCAAGCATTCTATGATAAAGAAATTTTGCAGATACATTAAATTTACAATGATGTATAAAAATATACAACTGTTTTCTTTATTAACTGACATTTGTTGAGACTTTCTGACAATACACAGAAAGGGTGTTGACTGTAGTGTAGGACAGGGTTGAATTTAAGGACACCCAATGATAAGTGTTTTTAGACCTACCTGACAGCATGCGTAATTTTTTTATGTTGGTTTGTAAAATCGGACAGTACAGTCTTACAATGGAAATATTGAGTATAATCCATAATGAATCGTAATGAGAATAACAATTTACATGTACAAACTGTAAAACTCATGTTTGCCCTTTTTAAATAATGGATAAAAAAAACATTTCTGAGGCATAATGTGCCTTTGAATTGACCTAACAAAACTTATGTTAGGTAAATATTCATGGAGGCATCATGTTAGATTAATCTTGAATATATTTTAAAAATTACACATGTATGTATGCAGTTATTATGATTTTCATTTTAGTTGCATTTTAATTTTGTGGTGGAAGTTTGGCTACAGGCTCCTATAAGAAATATGCCGGCAACAAACTACAACTGGCCATTCAATGAAGAGCAACCAATATTCAATGTGTACGGTACCAAGAGAAAAAACTGTGATGACTCAAGACAGGATGTTGTGGTAAACCTACTTTCTTCTTCTACTTTTTTATTTAAAATGTTTATATACATGTACTATAAAGTATAATATTCCATTTTGCTTCTTCGCTATTAAAATATTCTTTAGAATACTTATGTGTCAAATACTTTTTTTTTTTTTTTTTCATCAACTAGTATTTGATTATCATATTTCTAACCAGTGATTTTGTCATATTGGGTGTGGGGAGGTGGGATAGGAATTAGTTCAAATAATTGTACAACAGGATGAAATATTGTTCTATTTTATGTACAGAAAATACCTTCTCCCTCAAAATTACGCCTTAAAAACTCACTGTTAACACAGTACTAAATATAAATCAATTAGGCTCTTTATCATTACGCTGGGATGTACTATAACGGGATATGTCACTCGCGCTTTCTTATCAGTGCCAATGTTGGTGTCCAATTGGAATCGATCGATCGATAAGCGCCGTGTTTAAACGCCGTAATCACGGTACATGCCGGGTTGATCGGATATATTTCCGCTGCATAAATGTTTCCGCGTGATTTTGGAGGTGGCAAATCAAAATTAGTAGGAAAAAAGGTTGTTGGTTTCTTAAATACTTTTTTCATTGGATTCAATTTTAAAATTTAATATTAATAAATATGAAACCAGATACAGAAAAGTAATTTACCATATTTAATTATGATATTGAAAATTTACGTTTGTAATAATACGTTCAGAAATAATGTTAATCATTAAAATTTCAATTATAGCTTTAATTACATGGTTCTATATTAATTATAGAATATAATTATGTCAAATGTGTCAATAAACATAGAAATTATTGTTGTATTGGCGACTTATTATTTATGTAATTAAAGTGTAAAAAACCGGCTGCACTTATTAAAACATTTTTTGTTTTTATAACATGCCAATAATTTTTGGTTTTAATAAAATGTCTGACCTTTGTTTTATTCAGTTGTTTTCAAACATGGCCTTTGATTAATCTTTGTGTTTTAAACATAATTTTTCACATATATTTGTAATTTTGTTCTTATTTAGCTTTAATTTTCATTTTGAATAGATTGTTTTCTTACTTCACAACAATATGCCCTTTTAAAATATGCTATTGAATGAAACAGTTTTTAATTATAAATTTTTTTCATAAAAAAGCATAACATTATAGATGCAATGTTCATAATGAAATTTATACATACTGATACACTGCCAATATAGGCATATGGAAAATCGGCATTTTTGTTCTCTTTGAGGAATATATTTAGATTTTTTTCTTGTGTGAATTTACAGCTATGTGAATTATGAAAATTCTGATGATTGAAGGATAAGTATAAGTGTAAAATCATAAAGATGAATAAAAGGAAAAACTAATGTATGTGATCAGTGTGATAAGTCATACAATTCTGTATCGGGTATAAGAGGAACATTTAAGGAATAAACATGGAGTTAAGAATTGTTAAAGGTTAGAAAAAAACCTTTTTTATGCAATGTTTCTTACTGTGGTCTTTTTCAATTGTAAATAGTTATAACAACTAAGATTCATATTTGCAATGGCCACGTCATACTTGGTCATCAACCTGCATACCCATTGTTAGAGTTCCAGCTTCGACCCAGTTTGTCATGTGAACATTTCTGTATGTATATATATATGCATCAGACCAGTGGACAATATATCTGTGATTTTTTAATATACTGAACCACTGACTTATTAAAATTCTTTTACTCGTTTATTAAAAGGCTAGGCAGCATGAAAGGACTACCTAGTTGATAAAAAAAACACTTTATCAATATATATTGCACATTACAATTTTTTTTTAAAATATTATTTTTCATCTTTATGAATATTAGCTGTAACAAATGTAAACATTAAATTGGCAATACAAATACAAAAAATATTGGTTGAAAATGAACAAAGAAATACTTGACACATTGAAATCGGCACTTATAATCTACATAAATTACCAAAAAGAAGTCAAAAATGTGCATGAATGGCCCCTACTGCGTTAGTAACGCAGTATAAATATGGTGATAAATTACTGCCAATAGTACAGTCATTAATTTGCACATAAGATATAAATTATCACTTGAATCCTTTGATCTGTTTACTTTTTCTTAAAGTTTTAGTATGTTTTTTTCCCCCAGTGTTAATTTCTTTGAAATATTTTTGAGTAATCTGGAGGCATGCGGCTTTGAAAAAATGTTTCATCAGATATATGAATGCCACCAAGTAGGTCCAACTTCATTTTCTCGTTGTGACACGAACACATACTTTAATCCTTCAATCTGAATCGACAAAATTCATGGTATCATTTTGTGACCTTTTACACTCAGTATCTTTGTTCATCATTACTGGTATTCTCAAGCAAAAAGAAATTTGTGAAGAAACATCTGATGGAAAGTTTTCAATCTTCGATAAACCTGCAATTGAGATTGAAATAATATTATACAAATAAAGAAAATAAAAGACTTTTAAAAGTGCAAATAACAATGACCACCATGACAGGATATCATTCATGATATCAATGACACAGCTAAGGGAATCTATAATTTTAATAAAAGATGTTGTTTTTTTTCTCATTCAGATAACAAATTATGGTTTTCGAAAATTAAAAGAAACCCTATACCTATTTCTAAAACATTATTTTTTCTACTTTTTAAATATCAAACGACTTAACTGCAAATTCGTCAATTTATGGTTTGGTCTCAGATTTCACCAAAAAATTGTTTGAAATTTGACACAGCGTAATGAAAAATCCTACAAGATAATTGATCCAATTTTATTTTCTTTGCTATAGATATGTTTATGTTTTACTAAAAAAATACTAACATGGGACAAATTTAATTAACATATAACGTTCATTTACGGGACAAAAAATGTACATCACGTTTGCATTCCGCCATTTCATTTTTTCGGATTTTTTGTCACAGTTCATAAAATTGGAACCCGTAAAATTTCATTTTATCTCACTAAAATTCCATAATCTTAACGTTAAACCAAAGATATTTAAAGGATCTATTTCAAAATATTCTGTCAGTTTTCTTGTAATTTACTTATTTAAAACGAAGTTTGCAGACAAAAATTACCCTTTCAAGGCGATCAACACAAAACATCAGTTCGATTGAAATTTTTATTCTTTCAACAGACACAGTTTTTCACATTAGATACTTTATACACATGTTAAAAATACATCGGATCAATGTCATGATACTTACAGAATTATTTCATTTACTTTCTTGGGACTTCAACCCCATTAAGTAAACATACCGATCGATTTTCTGACCGAACATTTCCTCCGCTTTGAACTAAAATTGTAAAATGGCGGCGCTGATTCCTGATTGGACGAAAACATAAGGAGCGATAATCTCTGTGTTTCCCGTCCCCGTATCGTATGTTCCAGCATTACGGTAATTTTTGTGTACAATAGTAAATGCATGAGGCTAGTTTAAATCACTTAATTTGTGTAACTTTGCATTAGATTTAATAGCAGTAGAAATTTTTCCAAAAAAACAAAACAACAAAAAAACACACACACAAAAATACTAGAGGGAATCTTAAGAAAGATTAGATATAAACAAGTAAAATTAAAGACAGCATGAATGTTGGCAAATATGGCTTTTTAAAATTTTAGTTATACCTTTATTACACACCATTGCATAATAAGTGGAAAGATTATGAAAAAAAGTGTTATTATTGCTGTTTCATGTTTAGGAGGAAATGGAGACTAAGCGAAGGTGTACTGAATCAAGACCGGGTATGGAAGAAGATGGTATGACAGACAGTATGGACATATCAGGGCAACCAGAATCTCAGATGCATCATTCACACCAACCTCAGGTGCCATTATTACAGAGTAATTCATCATCACAGACTCCTCATCACCTTCATCATCATGATCATCATCAACATCATCAACATGATCATCAATCTTCTATGCATTCTAACACAGTCATTCAGAATTTGGCTCAACACCATTTACAGGTAAAATACAGGCTTGTAAATGACATAAGGGACACTGTGTATAAGAGGTCACTTTTATATCTGAGTCATGTAATACAAAAAAAAGAATACCATTTATAACATAATAATTAGAGATGGCAAAGAGTAACCAGTTAACCGAGTACTCGATCGAACCTCAGAATATCGGTTAACAAAACTGATATTCGGTTACTCGGAAAAATATATAATGTCTATTTTTTTGCGATTTAGAAAGATTGGTGTATCCAATTAGTTCAGAAATTCGAAGATGCCCATGTATCTTCATAAATACCTGTTAAATGCAAATCAAAACATCCTTGCAGAGGTGCGTAAATGATATCATAAATTTAACGAGGCGATCAACAGTTTGATACACGCACCTGTATAGCTTATGTCATCTTATGATATTCAATTACTTTTAATTGTGTTATAGTTTGTAGCAGAAGTAACTTTTTGAAAACAACAAAGGGCCAATTTCCTATTATGAATGTAAGAATAAAGGTAACTATTATTTAGACCCGGTTAAACTTTTGTTGCCGCCGATTATTCTATATTATTTCAAGAAAAAAAAAGATATATGAACTGTTATACATGTTTTAAACTTGGTATTGCATTAATTAAAACGTTGTAAAATTGATGTTGATTTAATTTTAATTAATTTGTCTTCCGTGCAGTCCTATTTATAGTTACGAATTTTATGAATTTGAATAGAAAACGAAAGTAGCATGTAGACGGTGATAAACTTTGAGTATCACTGGAAATCATCCAAGTAACGGAGTATTCGATCAGAAAATGACCGAGTACTCAAGTATTGATTTTGGTATTTGTTGCCATCCCTAATAATAATAGATTGTTTTAAAATAAAATTACACTTGATGATTTGATATTATTGATTGATTAATTTTTCTTCACTGTAAATAACTGTTATCAAGCCAGAGTGATATAGAAAATATAGTAATATACATGTACATGTAGTATAGAAAATGCTAAAAATTACTGGTTAAAAAATACGGTACCTTTTTCCTTTTTACTTGTTTTTATATCTATTTAAGACCTGTATTTCATGGAAGAGAATTTTCATATCTAATTTTTTTGTTGTTTTAAGAAATGACTCGAAAATTTGTGGTTTTAAACCATTCATCTTTTCCTTAAAAAGAACACTATTTTTACTGCATTCTTTTGTTCTCAACTACAGTTATAGGGACATTAAAGTCGAAATGATGTAGAAGTTAATTGTATTTGATGATTTCAAGGCATGATTAGAATATATAATTATAATAATATAGGTAATATATAGATGTTGATCAAATATTAATAACTGATATGAATATACCTTATAAGTTCAAGCTATAAAAATGTATAATTATTTTATGTCTGCATAATCTAAACCACAGGTACAATATAGTGAAAATGTTATTTGTGTATACTATACTAACATACGGAAGTTCAAATTGTGTAGGGCTTGTCAAAAACAGGTTTCCCAATACAGTTGGCCACTAAGTACAGGTTAAACATTATTGTTTTAGGATAGTTTTTACGACATTTGGGATATCTTTTGGCCCAGGTTTAACTAAGTTACTATTGATAAAAAGACTCCTGAGATCTTGAGATATCTAATTCTTGTCAGGTAATGTAAAGTCACTGTTTATATATATATATGCCTGAAAGATTATTTTTATTTTCCAACTGTGAGAATATTTCAATGTAAAAAAGGTTTCTGAGTATAAGAATCGTACTTCGGCTGCCGGTTCATAGAGGAATATCTAGCTTTAGGGTTATTGTTTACAGGGGTAACAAGGCTCTGTAAGGGGGAGTGGTGGGGGTGTTATCAGTAGTTAATCCTTTCTGATAAGCATGAATCAAATTACTGTACCAGTGTTTGTATGTTGTTGGCAAATTTGTCTGTCCAATTTTATTTAAAACATTTATTCTTAAGAATAAAGTAATCTATAGCCAAAAACAGATTTCGAAGACCACTTTCAGTATGTGTATGTCTGTTTGTTTTTGGTTTAAAAAAAAAGTCTACTTATATACATGTATATGATAATAGGCTAAAATGTAATCTGTCATTTTTAATAACTTCCATTGACTTTGTTGTTTTCAGGTTACAATGAACAACAGAGTGCCTCCCCTCCCCGACCAGACGGGGGATCATATTGGTGATAACAACAATACTATATTACATACAGGTCAAGGAGAAGAACTTAATAATAACATGACGTCTCAATCTGACCTTGACATTCAGGTAACCATCTAAATACTGCTTCCAGTAATATATTCATAGTTAGAATTTGTATACATGTACATGTATATATTTGATTGCTCAAGTCTTTGATGATATTTTAAAAATAACTAGGCTATGAGTTTTTCAATTTTGATGAATACTTCATGAGTTGTTTAAAGTTATGAGTATTTCATGAGTTGTTAAATGTTAAGAATATTTTATTTAAGGTTATGAATGTTAGTATAGAGTGAAAATAATCAGGAGATCACTGCAGCTGGGTCAATTTATGACAGCTGTAATATTTGTTCCATGTTTTTGTACTGCACATCTTAGTTCTAAGCTAAAACAAAAAGCTTACATACATGTACCTCACCTAATCTGACATTGGCCATAGGAGGGGAAATAACCATGATCTTTAGGCTGGCCTGGCCTTTGTATAAACTGAACAAATTTATATTAACCCTTTCACTGCTTAAGCCGTCCCTGTTATTTTCGGCGTATTTGCCATATGGACGGCTTTACCCGTTTCTATAATAATCATAATAATAATAATAAATTAATAATAATAATAAAAATAATAATAAATATAAAGAAAATTATACCATCGACAATAATTATTATTATACTAGCATATTTGGAAACATATAATTATAATTATTATAATACTAATAACAAATAATAATTATATTAATTAATAATATAGTAATTTTTTAGAAAACCCTCTGTCAATAAAACAATAACCCTCTGGCAGCGAAAGGGTTAAGCTATTATAAAAAAAGGTATATCTGCAAGAAATGTCCATAATGCCCACAATTTCCCTCATCTTTCTGTAGACCAACAGAACATTGGACAATTGTTTGAACACATTTCTAGTTTGTGTGAGGGGTAATTGTTCATAAAATCATTATGAATTGGTTGAACATCAAAGACAGGCCACAGGTCACAAAACTGGTGCCAGCGGAGAAGAAATTTTTATTATTTGAAAAAAAAAAACACGAAAAAACGTTTCAGACATATACATATAGATCAAAGTATAAACTTAATTAATTTACTGAATAATTTTGAAATTTTTGCTCTGCGAGACATCTTTCTGTTGAATATAAATAGTTCCGCATTTTACAAGTAAGAATTGATAGATCACTGTCCACATTCTATAAGCTTTTTCCATTGAATATTCCCTGTGGAAAGAGTGCTGTGCGTGATCTTTTGATATAATCTATGAATAGAATGTTCATTTTATCTTTGTACGTGATTTTCCTCATGCCTCATGAATGAAAAATGTTTGTGCTATCTCATTTAAGTATTGCATAGTTAAATAAGATTTTACGTAAGTTGTACAAATTACGCATACATACAAATGTAAGTTCCGCATACGTTATCAAGTAATAATTAATGTCTTTTGAATTGAAAATAGTATACTGAAGTCATGTTTTGTAAGACCTGTAACCCTAGAGTAATTCTTCAATGCTGCAATGAAGTTGATTTAGGTTCTTGGCCTTTGAAAAGGAACTGGGAGAAATTAAATTATTAGTTATTAGCACATTTTTATTATCAGAACAATTGAATGGCACAGATATCCGGACCTTGACTCAAGGAAAATCAGAAAATGCATGCATTTGACTCCTGATATTTAAAAATCTGCTCACAAATTAATTTTCAGATAGATACCGGTAGTAATAATCAATAGCTTTAGATTTTCTAGCTATAATTTTCTTTTAAGTTTGATGTTTCATAGAATATTACACATGAATAGAACAGAAAATTAGATGTGGTGTTTGTGATTGAGTAATGCTTAATTTTGTATGCAATGCCATGTCTCAGTAACCACCAAAAGTATTCACATGAAAATCACACATGGTTTGAGGGTCATAAATGTGAATCCATAAGTTGGCTTAGATATTTAATTGAATTATTTCCCTTTATTAAATTACATAGTTTATGCAATAAGATTGAAAATCATGCATAATACATGATAAAATGATAGAACAGTAAAACATGTTTGAAAACTGAAACCACATCAATTACATCATACGAAAGACAGCTAAAAAAAAACAACTAGATCTCTTATTTCCATTGTGTTCCATAATTCATTTTTCTTTCGTTTTCATTTTATAGAGCAATAAGTTAAAACATGTATGAGAAATTACCCACGTTAATTTCATCATACTAAGGATAACACAAAAAAATGAGAACTAGATCTCTTATTTCCATTGTGGTCCGTAACCCATCTGTCTTTCTTTTACCATTATATAGAACAATATGTTGATGGATCTCAACGAGGGAGTATACAGCACTGCAACATTGCCTATAAACCCTCAGACAGATGCGGAGTACGAGGCTGCGTGCAGTATGATGGCAGCCATGGAGGGTGAGGGCGCCCCGAACCCTCAACAATACTCACTTTCATACTGTGATTCACATTGCGTGTAAGTATGTGTTTAAGTAGGTCTTGCTTAATTGATTTACGTTAAAATTTTGAGTATAAAATGTTCTTAGTGTGCTTAATGAAATATTTCTGCAGATATAACTATAGGACTGGTATTGGCTTGTCATCATACTTATTTACTGTTTCTGAAACTTAAAGCAACTTCATTAATTGGCTGACTTTTTATGCTCCCGGAAAAATTTCGGGGGAGCATATAGTCACCGGGATGTCCGTCCGTCCGTACATCCCAAATTTGTGTCCAGCCCATAACTTTGTTATTTGAAGTTGGATTTTACAACTATTTCAAAGAAATGATCACTATATTGGGACGACATGTCGCGCAACATTTGGGTCACTACCTTGAAAATCGTGTCTGGTCAATAACTTCGTTATTTGACGTCGGATTTGACAATTATATCACAGAAATGATCACCATATTGAGATGACGTGTCCCGCGCAACATTTGGGTTGCTATCTTGAAGGTCAAGGTCACAGCATGACATTGCAGCAAAATTGTGTCCAGCCCATAACTTCGTTATTTGAAGTGGGATTTTACAACTATTTCACATAAATGATCACCATATTGAGAAAATGTGTGGCGTGCAACATTTGGGTTGTTTTTACACTTTGAACTTAGTCTGTGACATAACTTTGACACTACAAGAGGTATACCTTCCTTTGTCAAAAACCTATTCGGGGAGCATCACCCGGTTCAACCGGCTCTTGTTTTTATTGAGATATTTTATGTGTTCCATTCCATGGTTGCTAGTGTTTTTTAACACCAATAGAGAGCCAGGGCAAATGCATACGTTCTTTCTTTATGGACAGTTTTCTGTTGACTGTGTACTTTAAGTATAAATTCTGAAATTGAATTCTCTTTAATCTACAGTCAGTTCCATATTCAAATCAAGACAGATTTCTGATACAAATCAAATTATGTGGTTTGTTAGAAAGTAGCCACTTAAATAGATATAAATACTAAGTAGTGAGGGGATAAAAAAATTTAAATTTTAAGAAAGAATTTCTGCAAACTTAAGTACCTTTCTTTGATTAGAGACCAAAAACACTTTTCAATATATTTCAATTTTTGGCTTCGCTATTTTGTTTAGTATCGTATTATGATAAAGAAATAAAAGTCAAAGGTCAAGAGTTTCAAAAAATGTTTCCGCTGAAAATAATTTTCATCTATATACATTTTTTTCATATTTAAGTGACATTAAAAACATCTTGTTATTATTTTTTTCTCTGAATTAAATTGATCTGATTTGCATAAAACTTACATTTATTCTGACAGGCTCAATGATTGACTTATTAAGTTGTTAAAGTGTTTATTTTGTTTGGCCTGCATGGAACTTGTTTATGATTACATTATTACTATCAAATGTGTAAAAATAGATTTCCTCATCATTATGCGAACATAATTCATTTAGTTATGAGCTATTTTTGACGTTTTGTTCGATAATTTATAGACATATTAAGAGCGCAATATTGAAATTTATTCACCACCTGAAATCAATAACATATTTTCAACGTTTTGTTTGTTTGTTTGTAAACAAGGAAATGAATTAGCAAACGACAAAAATTGACAATATAATTATATTTATTACGGTGATATCAATTTAAAATACAGGCTGTTTAATTACAGTTTAATAATTTATGTCGGAAATGATCGGGACCTGGTTTGTGTGGTCTCTGAATGTGAATAGATAAAATCTGCGGTCACAAAAACATATCACCCACGTAAATTTGAAAACTATTTTTTTGCCTGAGGCATTCATTCTTGGTTTTTTGTTTAGGATTTTTTTGTATATATAAACAATGTGTTATGTATTTTATCATAAGATATCATAGATAAAAATGATTTCTTTTAGTTTGTTTGTTTTTGTTTTTTTGAAAGGACATCAGTTGATTTAATTCAGATATTTATAAAGGGAAGAGTTACAACTCTGACCTTGGATCTTGAAAGGATCATGTTTTGAAAGAGAACACTTGGAAAGATTTTTTTCTACCCTATAATTATAAGAAATCGTTAATGGTCTTTTCTGTTATGTGAAAGCAGCTGTGTTGTTTTATGAATAATTTTAGATCCCTGCTGTTCCATTACCCCTTTCCTTAGATAGTATTTAAGGAATCTGTGTTTCCAACAGTGGGAAAAAAGTTATTCTTTAATTTTTTTCCCCAGAAAGAGCAGTAAAACAGAACTGTTAAAACTTTGAAGGTAGGGGCCGGGTGGATGGGTGTGTGTATAAGTATTGTATTTACAAAGAAATAAAAATTTAGGAGACTTTAATCGATAAAATTTTCGATTAAGTTCGGAGTGAAAATATACATTAAGTAGTTATAAGAATATTTGTTTTAACAACTGTAATACAGTCATATTAGTCAGTATTTTATACTTATATAATAACAGTTAAGATATAATGTTTAATTATCTGGAATCAGCCACTTTGTAAGATGCTGTTACTAAAATTTCAAATCACTTGCCTCTAATCACTTAGTGTTTGAATCCTGTCAGTGACATTGGATTATTTCTTGTGAGGAAGCTGTTCAGATACATTGTAGCTTACACAAATTTGGTAGTTCTACTCAGGTACCTGTTCCTACCTAAAATAATGCTTCAAGAGGCACCTAAGATCTTTCTCCACTGGTAAAGCTGGAAAGTCGCCTTATCACCAATACAATAAATAGAAACATGATATATTATCACCTTAATGTAAGATTATAATGCTTTGATATGGCTTGTATTTTTAATATAAAGAATCAGATATGGCACTCAAAAGTGAACTGATTTGTTCAGTCCCTCTGTCAGAAAATTGATGGATAGTTTCCTGATGTACACAAATAATCTTTTTTTTATATGCCCGAAAGAATTTCGGGCATATTATGTTATACCCCCGGGCGTCCGTCCGTCTGTCTATCCGTCCGTCCGTCCGTCCGTCCGTTAGCAATTTGGTTTCCGGAGCATAACTTAAGTTCCATTTGGCCCACAACATTCAAGCTTCATAGGATGATAGTCCATATTGAGTAGAAGACCCCTATTGATTTTGGGGTCACAAGGTCAAAGGTCAAGGTCACTATGACCCTAAAACTGAAAACAGTTTCCGGAGCATAACTTAAGTTCCATTTGGCCCACAGTGTTCAAACTTCATAGGATGATTGTCCATATTGGGTAGAAGACCCCTATTGATTTTGGGGTCACAAGGTCAAAGGTCAAGGTCACTATGACCCTAAAACTGAAAACAGTTTCCGGAGCATAACTTAAGGTCCATTTGGCCGCCAGTGTTCAAACTTCATAGGATGATTGTCCATTTTGGGTAGAAGACCCCTATTGATTTTGGGGTCACAAGGTCAAAGGTCAAGGTCACTATGACCTTAAAACTGAAAACAGTTTCCGGAGCATAACTTAAGTTCCATTTGGCTGACAGTGTTCAAACTTCATAGGATGATTGTCCATATTGGGTAGAAGACCCCTATTGATTTTGGGGTCACAAGGTCAAAGGTCAAGGTCACTATGACCTTAAAACTGAAAACAGTTTCCGGAGCATAACTTAAGGTCCATTTGGCCCACAGTGTTCAAACTTCATAGGATGATTGTCCATATTGGGTAGAAGACCCCTATTGATTTTGGGGTCACAAGGTCAAAGGTCAAGGTCACTATGACCTTAAAACTGAAAACAGTTTTCGGAACATAACTTAAGTTCCATTTGGCTGACAGTGTTCAAACTTCATAGGATGATTGTCCATATTGGGTAGGAGACCCCTATTGATTTTGGGGTCACAAGGTCAAAGGTCAAGGTCACTATTACTTTAAAACTGAAAACAGTTTCCAGAGCATAACTTAAGGTCTATTTGTCCCACAATATTCAAACTTCAGAGGATGATTGTCCATATTGGGTAAAGACCCCTATTGATTTTGGGGTCACAATGTCAAAGGTCAAGGTCACTATTACTTTAAAACTGAAAAAAGTTTCCAGAACATAACTTACTTTCTATTTGGCCCATAGTGTTGAAACTTCATAGGATGATTGTCCATATTGGGTAGAAGACCCCTATTGATTTTGGGGTCACACGGTCAAAGTTCAAGGTAGCTATTACCTCAAAACTAAAAACAGTTTCCAGAGCATAACTGAAGTTTCATTTGGCCCACAATATTCAAACTTTATAGGAGGATTGCTATTTGAAGGAGGTAATACTTTATTTAATTTATGTAATGTCTTACAAATGCTTCATCCTTAGAAAAGAAAAAAAACACTTTCGGGCATATAATGCTCCGCCTAGCGGTGCTCTTGTTGTACCTATGTATTTGTACTGATCATTATTTTTTTTGTACGGATGATGTCATAAGCCTTGTTATAAACAGTACATGAATGACCCTTGTAATCCATATCCTCCTTGAGTAGTATATCTAAAGCTTTGTAAATGTTTTGTTGACATAATAATGCTTAATTGAATGATAAATTAAGTTAATGTAAGTTATACCTAAAGTTTTTTGTCCTCTTAAAAATTTGCCTCTGGTAAAATGATAGTATATAAGTGTCTGGATGAGTTACCAAATCAAGTAAAAATTCCTAGTGTAGTTGCTAAAGTAAAAATTTGAAAGAGCAGGAAATAGTATACACTTTGACTTGAATAATCAAACCCCACCGCAAAAGCCTTTCAAAGATGTCAGCTGGTATCATGCCTTCAGCACTTTAAGATTGGCAAATCTTCTAGTATTTGCTTCCTTTTGGCATTTACAAAAAAAAAAAATTAATGAAACCATTTAACTCTTGAGTGATTAAGATCCTGTATGAGGGACTTTGGATTCTTTCATGTGAGGAAGCTGTCCAGCTAGCTTACGAAACGACAGTGGTTCTACTCAGGTTCCCATTTATACCTGAACTAATGCACAGGCTCTCCGACATTGATAGTGGCATAGGTCTTTTATTTTTAAACTGCATGGTGGTGAGGAAGTACTGGCATCTATTTTGGTGGTATATAATTTATAGATGATTCGGAAGTGGGGGCTGATCATCGGTATATTTTAGTGACATAGGTCAGTGATTTATAATCATGGCTGCCAATTCATGATATTGATCTTACTTTAGATTAGCATGATTCAGTTAATGTTAAATTGACACTTTAAAGTACAATGCATAATGACTTTTGTAACTCATATGTTTATCAGTGCCTGATCAAAGAGAATCTTATTAAAATATCTTCAATTAATTATAGATTGCATAATGATCACTCTGTCTCTATGAATAACATATACTTGACCTGTGTGATAAATTAATTACTTAACAAATATTTTGTAATAAAAGGCCTTTTGATTTTTGAGGTAAGCTTGGGTGAATGAGACAAAGGGTGATTTCTTTTTATTCCTTTGTCAGCAAATTGTGAATATTGTAAAAATCTGAAAAACTTCAGTTGAAAATAAGTAAAATTAATTGACTTCCAAATCAGTTTGAAGAATTTTTATTCTAAATTGATTATTCTGTTCAGTGGTGACTTGAGTTAGGCATTTGTTTGGCAGAATAATATTGCATTTGTCACAATGTGCAGAACTGTTTACTAATAAAGGGAAAAAGGGCTGTGGCCAAATAGCTGATGAAATAAAATATATCAGGGGACTAGGTCATTATAGAACTGTTCCCGTATTGGGGAAAAAAATTCATGCGACTGAGTAGCTCAAGTCAGTGAGGATGCGGGATAATGTCCCAAGGCCCTAGGGTACGGGATTTAAGTCAGGCCGCCCATTTTTCTCACCCTGTGACACAGTTTAGAAAGTATACATGAAGCAGCATCTGGGGTCTTCCACCACAAATAAAGCATTTATTACCATGTAACCTGAACTTAGCCACAAATTCTTTAATACCATAATGATTTTAATCACAGATAGTTGAAATCTTCATTAAATTTGTTTTTCTTTGTTAGATTATTCTAGCAATTACGGTACATAAAATATACCAGTATGACATCATACAGCATATCAGTTTCCTTTTATAGCAACACTTGTCATATAACATGACTATCTTATATAACTATATATCTATGGCTTTTAAGGAACTCAAAAGCTTATACATTGTTTAATACAGAAATATATGTATTTGTAACACCTTTGATATCCCAAATAATCACTTTATTATGTAAATCAATTTTCTATTACAGTGGTGGTAGCTGGAGTCCTAACTCAGGAAAAGTTCGCTGCTCTTGTAGACCTTCATGGGAAGGGTTGACAGACGTCCGTCCGTACATCTCAGATTACTACTGATCTCTTCGCCTTTAAATATTTCCCATAGCGGCGCCAACAGCTCGCTTCAAGAACTGCCTTATATTACTGTTGTGATTACACAACATTTTGTTATAGTTACATTTGTATTAGTGCACATGACATTCAAGACATTTTGATAAAGTTATTAGTGCTGTAGTTATTTTCATATGTTAAATAAGTCGGAATATGTTCTGGTAGAAAAAAAAATATATGTGACATGTACAAATTTTACCATAAATAACATTAAGGTAGTCTTACTGTATTTTTTTTCGCCAAAAAATTGTAACATCGGCCATTATCTTAATAAATTGGTCATTTCCAGATCGTTTTTTTTTTTTTCACAATCTTTGGTTTTCAAATTTTAACCGGAATTTAGTACATAGAGATAAAGGATGAATGATTGTAAATAATTTTATGCCCTAGATTTTGAAAAAAATAACGTTCCTGAAACAAACAATTTGCTTTGATATTGGTCGATGTTAGAATTTTTTGGAGGGAAAGCATTACAGTAAGACTACCATAAGAATGTGTAGTACAGCTCAGTCTTGCAGGATGTAAATGTAAACTCTATAATAAAAGGGTTATAAGTTAAAGATTGTTAATATCTCATGATCCATGATATTATATGGCCCAAAATATCCACACATAAAAATGGCAAAATAACTATATATTAGGGAACATTTTTTGAAAAATTACATCATCCATTGACTATGTAATGTAGTTGATGATGTCATAATGTTTTACATTAAAACTATGTAATAATAATAATGTAATGTAATGATTATAATGCATTGAAAATGAGAGCAATATCTTTTGATAAAATAATCATTCAGCTCCTTTCTATATGTATCAATTTTATAATATAATATTTATTTGCAATTATTAGGAAATTTCATTTCAAGCTTTGATTGACTTGTATCAATTATGATATATGTTTATTGGCAATTATAAGGACATTTCATAAAGCTTTGATATTATTGGGGGCTTTTTCTCCGTCTGTAGCATTCACCGAATGAAATTTTTTAAAATTCAGATAGAAAATTAAAAGATGAACAAGTCTATTTAAGAAATTTAGCACTTCTAAAGCAAAAGTGAATTTGATGTTTTTGTGCTAATTTTTAAAAAAAAAAAATAAGAAAAAAATATTTCATTAATATCACTAATTTACATTTTTGTAAATGTGCAGTTTTTTTAAAGCTTTTAAAAGATAACCTTAAACCTCCCAAGTTTGTATAATGGATTTGCCCAGCTTTGAACTGGAACAGTCCATTCAGAAAGTTAAGGGACTGGGTAACAAAAGGCAAAAATTGAGCTGCCTTCAGATTCAGGGCTGGCAAAATCTGACTTGTCCAGTTTTATCCAAATCATTTTTTACTTGTCCATTTGATATCAATAGAGTAAATTCTTGGGGGAAAAAATTCACTTGTCCATAATATTATAGATTGTGGGACAAACTGGGCAATACAGACAATTGATTTTGCCGCCCCTAACTGAATTTAGCCAAATCAGACTGCTTGGATGTGCAGACTGGCCTGGCCCTATAATGATGGCAACGGCTATCCACATTGCGTTCAGGGGGGACTGCAAATTAAGGTTGTTTTATATTCATCATACAATCCTGAAGCCTTTTGTTTACATAGCTTTGCCCAAATCATTTGATCTCACATATCATTATTATCAAAAATAACCAAAAAAAAAAAAACTTAATGTTATATTGATTAAGTTATTGTATATATTTTGTTGAAGTATAAAATATTGAAAGTTTAAGACACTTTTTAATTGGCAACTTACATCTTTTGTTTTCTGTTTTCATGATGATTATTGTTACTGATTTTATAGATATTTGTGTTCATGTGTAGTTATTATTATTAAGGTTTTGTAGTACTTATTCAATATTGAGTACATTTTAGTTAGCTTAATGTTTTTTATGTTGTTTTTAAAGTGTTTTTATAAGTAAATGTCTGAAATACATTTCTTTTTATTAAGATTAATTGTACTCTTATAACCTGTGTTTTTGATACAAAGTGTATCTAGTTAACAGGTAAAATGCACTTTACCGGTATGCACCCATTGTACATGTCTGAAACCGAGAGATGAGGACCATTTTGAATAGAATTAAGTAGGGGTTGTTTTAGAAAAAGTTGGGGTTTGGGGTTATTTGTCCCCACTTTGAAGCGTATATACAAAAAATACTGTAAATTGAATGACCTTAGAAATTTGTATCTGATTGGCCATGCAAGCATTAAGGAGACTAATCACAGTTACTTGCAATCTATTTCTAAGTGATGGTAAAGTGCATTATTCCCTAGTTATCCATAAGAAGTGTGACTTTATTTGTGTAAAGTGTGAACATTGGTTTGCATTGTTTGCTGAAATGTTCTTACATGATTTGTTAACTTAGTTTTTATTGATGTTTTATTGATTATTGTTAGTATCTGTGTTTTAGGGTAAATCTTTGATGTGTTCAAAATAAATTTTGAGTTATAACCTAAAAATAAAAACTACAATGATGTAATTTCTGAAAGCTTTGAACTTAATTTTACTTCTAATTTTCATTGCTTTAGTATTAAGTATGATATACCTGTAGTATTTGCCACCTTTGCCAACTGGAGAATGTGGCAGACTTCAAATCACTTGCCCCTTGTGGTTGAATCCCATCAGGGACTTTGGATTTTTTCATGTGAGAAAGCTATCCAGCTAGCTTACGAAAGGGTGTTGGTTCTACTTAGATACTTGCTCTTGTCTGAAAATAATGCACAAAAGGGCACCTGAGGTCTTCCTCCACCAGTAGAGCTTAAAAGTCGCCATATGACTTTTCCATTGTTGGTGTAACTTAAAATCTAACAAAACAAACAAACAGACAAAAATTGATACTTAAAATAACTCTCTGGTACTTGACAGTTGTTGAGAACTCTTAGAGTAGGATGTGTTTAAACAGACAGATATGGCAAGCTTGTGAGCTGATACATCGTAGCAATAATATTATACTCTATACCATTGCAATCACCCTTCAGTGCAATGACATATAACATGCATGGGTGTACCATTATGTTACTCATCATTATATTGTAATATATGTGAGTTTTTTTTTCAAGCAGTATCAAGTACAATAGTAACAATACTAGTTATATACTGACATTTACCATATGTATGTCGAGACTTTTATAGTAAATGTTGTACATGTTGATATGATATTACACATCTGGGCATGTTTAACTACTTCCTGTTACATTTTTCCTGTAACAGCATTCTTCATAGTTACATCAATCCATTGTTATGTTAACCTATAAACTGAATGATATTTTCATGATTGTTTTGAGACAGTGACCTTCTAATGTGGGATGTGATTTTATTTCACATAAAAACTTGATAATTACTCATAGTTTGAATGTTATTTTCATGCTTGTATTGAAAATCTTATCTTTTTATTTGTTTTTTATCAGACTGTCCATATCGAAATTGTTGCAATTTTTGCACATCTGTAGTATTTTGATAGTTTAGTTTGCTTTTTATTTTGCGTCACTGATTAAATAAGTAGAGGGTTTTATAATGCCATGTTAGGTAACAAATAGTATATTTTACCAATCATACTCGATATAAAATACAATAATGCAATATCCTGACTGCAATTGTCTCACAGTAGATTTACATTGATAAGGCATTGTACTTATCTCTGGTGTCACATTTTGTTGCATTAATTGTTCTGTAACTGTCACTTTACCTCCAGGGTAGCTCCAATACAACATCCTTAATTGCTTTGGTTACATATTGTTGATATTTTAGTGGGATATAACATATGATATTTCTTTTCTGTAAAAGATCTGGTGATATTTTAGTTGGATACATTGGGTACATATTTCTTTACTGTAAAAGATCTGAAATTTTGCATAATTTTTATTTTTCCTAATTTGTTTTTAGCATAATAGTTGTTGGTATGTCCTTCCAGCTGTTACACATCATCACACCACCTTCACCTGTTGACCAATAACAAATTAGATACTGAATGTCTGTGGTTTTTGTGTGGAGCCCTCTAGTGTCTGAAACAATGCCAGGAGAGGCACTCTATCAGTATAGCTTGAAAGTCGCCATATGACCATTTAGAGTGTTGATGAGACCGAACCAGAAACCAAACATTTGGTGCTTGATACCTTACATGGTCATTGTCCAAATTGGTCAAGGTCTTTGAAGCTAAAAATAGATTTTCATAATTTACATGTTTTTAAGTTTCAAGATATCTAAGCAACATCAGAGACCGACACAGCAGATTTTTCTTTCAAATCATTTGAGTTGTACAACAAAATATTTTCATCATTTATCATACATCATTTTCCTTTCCATTTTACTTGTACAGCCAAAGTTTTTTTTATCATTTAACTAATGCAACAAAAATTGTTCATCATTTAACATATACAACAAATATTTTTGAATCTCGCAGACTAACTGTCTCTTTCTTGAAACTGTTTATTTGTTATTATATGCCCGAAAGAATTTCGGGCATATTATGTTATACCCCTTGGCGTCCGTCCGTCCGTCTGTCCGTCCGTCCGTCTGTTAGCAATTTGGTTTCCGGAGCATAACTTAAGTTCCATTTGGCCCACAGTATTCAAACTTCATAGGATGATTGTCCATATTGGGTAGAAGACCCCTATTGATTTTGGGGTCACAAGGTCAAAGGTCAAGGTCACTATGACCTTAAAACTGAAAACAGTTTCCGGGGCATAACTTAAGTTCCATTTGGCCCACAGTGTTCAAACTTCATAGGATGATTGTCCATATTGGGTTGAAGACCCCTATTGATTTTGGGGTCACAAGGTCAAAGGTCAAGGTCACTTTTACTTAGAAATTGAAAACAGTTTCTTTAGCATAACTTAAGTTCAATTTGGCCCACAATATTCAAACTTCATAGGATGATTGTCCATATTAGGTAGAAGACTCCTATTGATTTTGGGGTCACAAGGTCAAAAGTCAAGGTCACTATGACCTTAAAACTGAAAACAGTTGTCGGAACATAACTTAAGTTTCATTTGGCCCACTGTGTTTAAACTTCATAGTATGATTGTCCACATTGGGTAGAAGACCCCTATTGATTTTGGGGTCACGAGGTCAAAGGTCAAGGTCACTATTACCTTAGAAATGAAAACAGTTTCCGGGGCATAACTTAAGTTCCATTTGGACCACAATATTGAAACTTCAAAGGATGATTGTTTTGTGAAGGAGGTAATGATACTTTATTTAATTCCCATGTCTTGCAAATTCTTCATCTTTACTAAAAAAAAAAAAATCACTTTCGGGCATATAATG